AAAGTCATCGCAATCTCTAGTCTGAGAGCCCAGAAGTACACACAGAAAGAACAGAAAGCCAAGTAAAGAGGAGCAGTTCTTGGGAGAGCAGCAGCTTTGTAGGCTGTACAGCAGGTTTTGTTTCATAGGTTTCTGTGTTACCTTAGTGCTTAACAGCTGGAGTAAGGGAACTGCAGAGCACAAATTAGTGATAAATGGCTAACAACAACAAAAAAAAAAGTAAAAAGAAAGAACCTGCCAAGAAGCTTCACCTCCCAAGATGCTGCCAAGAAGCAGCATCTCCCTGGTGTTGTCAATTACTCAGACCTTTAATTTTAGTAGCAAATGTAACTGAAAAGCTGTTTGGCAGTCTAAAGGATTTTTTTTGTTTTGTTTTGTTTTAAAGAAAAAAACTTGAAATAAAGCACCAGATTTCCAGAAAATCACTATTTCAGGCACCTGGAAGGGGAATAAAACTCCAAAGAAGAGCATCTGCAGACTTTTACTGCACTTTATGCTTATGATTTAGGTATGGTGTTTAAGTGTCAGAGGAGAAAAAAACCACCTATAATCTAGGCATGCCAATCTCACTGTCTGTGACCTGTTTTAGAAATAAATGTTTGAAGATACATTTCCTTTAAAAGATACAGAAGAGCATGGAAATGAACACTCAGTGTTCAAGGCCCTGCATCATGGGAGCCCAAGATAATGTATTGCTGTACATTAGAAAACAAGTGAGATGGAAAACATATATTTTCATAGAAATATGTGAATGTGAAAGAATGTGAAATATATTTAATATTTATTAAGCCTATTTTCTAACGCTCTGGAAAAGCTGAAGATGCTTCAAACTGGAATAATCTGCAAATACCATAGTAGGTCTTTACCAGGCTTGGAGATTTGGAAGAACTTCTGAGGGACCAGCCAGAAGTGGAAACTAAGTCCACAGTGACTGGCCAAGAGCCTCAAGAAGTAGAGGTTTGTGAGCTGAACTCTGGCATTTGATTTAAGAGACAGAGGCGAGACCATGAACTCCTGCTCCTTTGGCAAGCAGTGCCCCGAGAAGGCTTTCTGTGCTGGGCTGACTGTACTACTGTTTGACTGTCAGGCCTGGGGGAACCATCTCCTGGCAAATGCATCAGAAGAAACCCACCCTGGCAAACACACCAGCAGGATATTTTTCCTGGTAGTGAAATGAATTAAAGCTGGTGCTGAATTTAGGAGCTCTTGCCTTAGAAGTTACACTCCTCCATGATCTCCTCTACCAACAGCCTTGATCAACAATGCAAACACTTCATCACCAAAAAGAAACTGTGAGAGGGTGTGAAGCTCTGCAAGTAACAGGTTTGATGTCCAGTGGCAGATTTCAGGCTGCAGTTTCAATTTGAGTGACTGTCTTAGAGTCTGACAAAGCAGTCTGGCTAGACAGAAATATCCTAGGTGTGAGCATAAGGCGTGGAAATACAGACTAGTCTTACAACACCTTCTGCCCCCAGCCAAAGGGCCAACTTGGAGGGACAGAAAATGCTTTTCTTCCTGATGTGTTTCAGTCATGCACTGCTCTTTCCCTTTGTTATTAAAATTTATGAGGTTATGAGAGTGATTTCTTTTTTTTTTTTTTTTTTATATTAACTAGGGAGAAAGAGTTAATTGGTGATTTAAGTTGTGAAAAGTGGGAGCAGTGTATTCACGGAGCAAAGCACTCTTTGGCATGAGAAAGCAGGCAGACTGGGTTATACTTCTCACACATTAGGAGCAACTTTGACAAGCAAAGATACAAGAGAACTGACACGCTCCTTCTCTCCCAATGAAGGACTGAACAGAAAGTGCCCTGCAATTTGCCCTCCTTCAGCAGGATTCCCATGGCTGCAATATGCACTTCAGAAACATGGCTCTCCACAGGGGACCCAGGGAAATGAGAGAGAACAACAGCATTGCAAAAAGTTGCCAAAAGGCTGTAGCTGTATTTAGAAACAGTAAAGTAAGCCTTTTCTTCTGCTGTACAGTCAGAAATATATAGATGATGTGGATTTCAAAGACCAAAATCTCGCTACTTTTGCACAGACTTATACAGCTCTTATGATTCCCTACTGATCTCAGCCAAAGAGGGTTTTAAAAGTATGAATGTCAAAATGTCAACCACACTGCTTCCATCCACCTAAATTGTAGCTCTTGTTTACATAAGCAATATGCAGCCAAGAGTTTGAAAGGCCTGTCAGGGCAACTGAATGGAGCATGAATCATTGCACTGGGCACTGCTCTAAATGTTGCTTCTTCCTTCCTCCTCATTCTCAAAGGTCAGATAAATGGTACCAGGACCTGAATCTGAAGCTCTTCCCTGCATGATGAAAGACAGGAATCTTTCTGTGAAAGCTTTGCATAACTGTAGCATAAGCTGAAACCAGAAAACACACCTTAGAGCTAACCATAGATACGCATCTGCTTCTTATCAAATGTCTTCCTCTCTGCCTCTCCCCACCTCCCCATCTTCTAACTTTTTTTGGGTGTTTGAATCCGTGTAAATTTTTACCATCAGGAGGTAGGAAACAGTGTTTACATAATCTGAGTAAACACCATTCATAGAAGACTGTGAAAACCTCCAGAATACTTTCCATTTACTAATTAGTGCCAAGTATTGCATCATGCACTACATGGCCTACTCTGCAATAAGCAAATTTCATCTGTCAGTCTCTACATGGACAATTTTTCAATGGGTATCTTTCAGGACAATGAAATTAAGGAAGGCTTCTGCCCTTCAAAGCAGTCAATTCTTTAGAGTTTGCAGAACTATACATCTGCAGTGACAGCACTGTCACAAAGAGTAAGAGAATGCAAAATGGCAATTGAAACTGTAAACCTAATTATCTTTAAAGAAATAACTGCATCTATTCTGCAGACAACACACAGCTATGGTGTACACACATTTTTCACACTTCTCAGACACATACAGGAAGCATCAGGCTGTAACATCCCTCAAATGTAAAAACGCAGAAACCCTGGTGAGTTCATGAACTATCATGAACAGCAAGCTACAAATTTAAACAAGAGTACAAAGATTTTTATCATGTGAGGTGGAAAGCAGCAAACATAACCTGATGGAAAGACAGAGATGTGACTCTAAGCATTGTGTTCAGTCATAACACATAAGAGAGATCTGATGGTTGAAGGTAGAGCACTTTATAGTTTCACAGAAAAAAGAAAGATGAGGTGTATTGGCTGGAAGATGCTGCTAGAAAAACTGGCTTTAAAATATAAAATGTTTTCCTAGCAGTGATAATAAATATTGGAATGTTTTCAGGAGAAATCATGCGCTGCCACTTGAAAACACATGGGAGTACAGGGGTCTTTCATTTAGCTTCTGTGAGACCCATTGTAGATCACAACAGAGGATTGCAGAGCTCCCCTCTGGCCTGACTCTCCATGAATCTGCAAATTTCACAGCTTTATCCTGTGGGGCCAAGACATTTTGGCTCCAAACCAGCAAGGCACTTACATACATGCTGAAATGAAAGGTGGCTTTCTTTGCTGGATCAGGGCCAGCACCATCAGCCTCTTGCAGGACAAGCCCAACCATCTTTAGCCATCTCAGTGTCTGACCACTTCGGGGTTTCTTTGCCGCAGTAGCAATCAAACTTAGAAGAGCAGGGGCTTGGAAATCTTCCAAAGCAGTGGGATACTTTTAACTCTTGCTTATCTTGCATCAATTTTGCTGAGGTAAAGGGGGGTGAATATGCTGGTTTAGAGTTTTTTATTATATTTGCACTCAGCAATAATTTAATTGAGATCAGGAAACACAAATTGGGAAAGACACATTGAGGCAAGGTACTCCAGGAAGATGAGCAAATGAAAATCAATGCCTTTCTCCAAAGAGAAACTTAATGTAATTACTCACTTGAAAAAAAGGATTAAATCAATACCTCAGGGTTAGAAATACATGTATGCTGGAAGAACCTAACTTGAACCATTGTGAGTAGTAGTCTGGAAAGGATGTGAGGCATTAGGTAGGTTCAAACAAACATACACACACAAACACACATACATATACAGAAATACGCCATAGAGTCATTAACAAAAATTAACTGGAATACAGAAAAAGGGTCCTGTAAAAAACCTTAAGTTCAGAAAACAGGGTGGAGGATGCCGTTTTTATGAATTAGAGGCCAGTTTGGAAACAAACAATCCAAACCCCATTCAGATTAATTGGCTATTTTAAAAATGATTGTATTAAATTATTGAATGAAATTAATTAAAAACTTTTACCTTTCCTTCTCAAAGTCAGCATAGCATCCCTTGAAACTGTCATTTACTCTCAGGTTGTAACAGATAGTTAATTCCTGGTGGTCCAAACCTCTTGCCAAGGATTTCTTTCATGTATCCATAATATTTTTCTATATTTTTCTTCCCCTAGTACCTTACATAATTCAAAAGAGTATTTTGATTGTTCAAAATATTTTTTTTTGCCAGTTTGGGTTTTTTTTCCCCCTTTTAATTTTTTTTTAAAGCAAGCTGATAACTGGTAGGTTACTAGGAGTTTGCTTTAGCTACAGAAAGAATGGGATGAAATACAATAAGATATATTACATATTTTCAAGAAAGAACAATATTATGGCCTAGGAAATTCTGAGCTAAGCAGATTTCCAAGATTTTGCAGATGATTTAAGATGATAAAAGTGAAGATAGATCTGAATTTATTTTTAAAAATGAAAACAAAGAAAATGTCTTTTAATTCACCTTTTAATACTTAGAACAGCATATGTGCAGAGCAACTCTGCTTTATCGATTTAAGTGGAAGAAACAGAAGTAGGATGGAAATACACCTAGCTTTTAACACCAAGTCAGACAGAAAGACTTGAGAATGACTGGGAAATGATCACATTAATTTTTATTTTTTTTTAATTCCCAATGCTAGAAAAAATCCAGCTAGAAGCTATTTCAAATACACATTCAGAACAGCTTACGTTTATCTTCTTCATCCTTGTCTGCAAAGGAAGTGTTGTCAAAACACTGATTAATTTACAAACCTGTCAGATTTGGTCTCCTGAGGCGGTGACAGAGTTGTCCCATAACGAGTAGTAGGTGTTGTTGGGGCACTCACACCAGTGTAAGGTCGTGGAGAAGAGTAAGAGCTGCTGCCATAGCTACTGTACCTGAAGAAATGGGAAGAAAGGTAGGAGAAAGGCAGAGACAGAAAGAATCTGTCAGCAAACAGGCATGCAACAGTGAACCCTTATTTACAGGGTGGTAGTGATCCCATACCCCACAACTTTTCAAACATTCACTTTCTGAAAATGTTGCTCTATTTCCAAATATGCAACCAATCATGTACTCTTAATATCAACCATGGCATGAACATACATGATGAAACAGTGAGCTATTGGTAAGGAAAATAATGAGAGATTTGCATAGTCCTCACAAGTGACAACTCAGAACAGGAATACTTGAATTACTGCTCAGTTATTCAGAATTATTAGCTATTTTGGGAGCTAATATCCAGCCATTAGAAAAGGGATCAAACCAGCCCAAGACAGCAGTATTCATATTTACTACAATTAAGGAAAACAGCAGCACTCCTGAGACATGATCTGAACACGGGCATCCATGACTTGCAAATGCTTGCATTTTAAATGGAATAGCAACCACATTATTTTCAATTAAAGACAGCAGTATTTTCTTTCCCCTCCCCCAACATAAGTAATAGCTTATGTGCCATTTCTTACAATGTCTGTAAAAAATCATCACCATGGTTAAAAAGACATGTCTCCGGAAGCACGGCTTTAGAAATTTCTATCAGCCCTTCTCTCCATTAAAAAACCCCATAAACTTGCTCCACTTCAATGTGAGCTTGCTGATCAAAGAGAAATTGTTTCCAGGACTCCTGGAACGACCACCTCCCCAGAGTCCCTTCTATCAATGTTTTCATCCTGGCTCCTGTACTGAATAGAAAAGGCAGTTGTGTTGTTTTGCTGTGCCTTTTCACCATTGTACTTAAACAGCATCTCAAGAAAAGATTCTTGATTTGGGAAAATGTTACTTCTCTCTTTAATATTGTTCACAGACAATGCCATTTTCCCACATGGAAAGCATATGAGTCTCTGAAGATCAGTAGTCTGCAAGGCCAACTCATCCAAATGAAAAAATTAATTTCAAGAAATAGAGCAACATAATTTTCCTTATAATAATTCATAAGATATGATACTATATCCTCTGTCACCGTATCTTTTCTCTGCTGCTTCTTCCTTCACACACATCAGCACTCAGTAATTTCACTCAGCAATTTTATTTGAAAAGCCTGGTTGGTTTCCTTCAGCTCCATTTAGCACACTCATCTAGCCATGCAAAATTTCATTCAAAGTTTCAAGCTTCATTCCTTAGGGTTCAACAGCATTGCTGCCTGCCAAGGCCCACATTAAAATCAGAGTAGATTTCAGCTAGATGCTTTTACAATGGAAGGGATTGTGCTTTAGAGAACATGTCCTCTTGGATAGCAATTTCAGGTTAATGCTTTAGAAAATATCTCCCCTCTCCCATCTCTTTTTGAGACACTATACTGACCAGCAAGAGGGGAAATACTTTCAGAAAAAAATTCTAACATGCATGTTTCTGAGCCACAAAAGGAATTTCGCAGGAAATAATTGCTGTCCGGGCCTTCTTGCCCTAAAAGAAAACTAACTAGAAACTGGAGACAGTGGCCTGCTGGAGGCTGTGTAACTGGACAGCGTGGAGCTTTACTGGTAGCAGAGACCTGGCTTGGGTCTTCTCTCTGACAGGCTCAGCCCAGGAAACATACTGACTGTGCCTTTACTGAGTGATGAGAAAACTCCATTGTCCTGATAAGAACTCAGAGCTCATTTGGTATGTTCCTGACACAAAAACCTCCATTTCCATTTCTATCAACTGCAAGGAGACCTTATTGTCAACCAGTACATGTGCTTTTCTTCTCTGCCCCATGAAAGAGCTGACATAGAGCAGAACCCTTTTTCAGACTACGGGTTTTCAATTAGTCCAAAGATAACGCTCATGAAAATGGAGGGAACACACCTCCTATGGAGTCAGGCCTACAACAACTAAAACATCAAATTCAGAGGGACTGGTCTGGACACAACACCCTATCAGATTTAGAGGAACACTTTGTTGCAAGAGTAGGAGCAAGGCAAGACCAGAACACCAGGGTAAGTCTGCATGCTGTACACAAAGTTTATCATCTTTCTAACCTTCCTCTGGTACTGGCTATTGCTTCCATTTTCCCTTCTTATTTCATGTACCACAGGAGATGCAATAGTCTTATCCAGCAGCATTCACTCTGAAGACATTCTCCTCTTTTATGGGCATATTACAGACTTAATTGTTCAAGCTGTGCCCTCCTTTTCTTCCAAATAAACCCAGAAGAATCCCCATCCTCACCCCCACCCTTGAATCTCTGTACTAACTGGAAGCAGAAAAGATGGTCAGAGGAAAAAAAAAAAACCAAAACACTGGCAGGAATGGCAGATATTTAGGAATTTACTCTCTGAAGTATAACAGCAGCAGCAATGGGAGACCAATAAATAAGTGTGAGAGGTCTAAGGGAAAAAATGCATCAATCAAGGAAAATGTAAATTTAGAGGAATTCCAGTGTTCCAGTTGCAGGTAAGGGAAAAATATGCGAATTAAGTCCCTTTTCAACACCTACTTGGATTTAGTCTTTTCAGAAAAATGAAAAAGGAACCAACCACACCCACCTATTAGGAGAGAAAGATCAAAAATTAAAAGGGTCAAAGGAACCAAAACATTTGTTCACATGCAGAAATTCAGAAGGACTGCTGGAGAGAGGAAGAAATAGATACGCATGCAATATAAATATACATTTTCAGCACCTAATTTAAAGAACACTCAAAACTGAGAGATAGCAAAAAAATCATCGACCTCTTTTCAAGGTGATTCTCTATCATTGGTTTTAGTACTACTTACTGTCTATCTCTTTTACTTGAAAAACAAAAAACTTGACAAAACAATATATATATATTTTAGATGGGTAGGATGGGGAAATTAAAAACTAAGAGAAATGCATGAGGAACAGGAAAATTCAATAGATGCTGTGAAGATAAAACTGTCTGAGTGCTATATTACTTTTAAAAATTTTTTATTACAAGCATGAGCTGAAATTGCACATGAGATGGACATGCACTGTAATCAAACAACAAATTTAGGATTTGGCTTTCAGCCTTTGAAGCCAGGACTTCACCCCTGAATTTCAAGTGCTGATCTGACCCCTTTTGGTTTTATAGCAGAAAAGCCCCATTAATTTTCATGGAAACATGTCTGCAAATTCCATTGTTGTAAATGAGAGCAAAATGGTGCTCATTTTTGTGACCTCCCAAATCATGGGTTATTTATCCACTGCTCTATAGAGGAGGCCAGGATATTTATTAACTACAGACCTGGAAGAAGAGTAATGATGTTAGCAAACGCAAGGAGAAAATATCAAATCAAAATACAGGCTTACAGGGCTTAAATTAGTACAGTATGTTCTGGAAATAGTACAATGCATAGAGTAGCATTATTACCACTGTAAAATTCTTGAGAAGTGTTATTTATTTATCTAAAAATTATTGTTAGCTATATAAAATCTACCTGTTTTCCCTCATCATTTCTGCTTCCTTCTCTTTCACAGATGCTGGAGACTCTTCAAAGTCATACGAGAAGAGGTGAAAAGGAGTGTGCGGTACGTAAGGTAATTTCTCCACTGTTGGAGATGCTTTTGGAGTAATGGATGCTGAGGAATTTTGGGGAGAGCTCAGCAATGCTGTTGCAGGTGAAGATGGTGATGAAAGGACAGAATTATGATGAGAGACAGAGGAGTCAGGCACGGAAGAGAAGTTGCTAGAAAAGCTCTTTGCTCTAGAGCAGACGAGAGGCCTCTCAGCTGGAGAAATGGCACTGGAGACAGCTGAAGAGTCAGAACACTGTGAAAAGTTTTCGTTCACAGCCTCATGCACATCTGGAACCTCACTGCAGGGGGAAGAAATCATTAGAAAGGGAAGCAGAGAGAAAAATGGAGCAAAGGGAGATAATAGGTAGTAACACTTGCAGGGAAAAAAGAAAACTAAGTAGAGTTAGACAAACAAAAATTTCCAATATTTACACAATCATTGCATCTTTTTAAGTAAAGAGAACTCACATCTTTGTATTTCACTAGGATTCTTCTTGGGGTTGGAAATACTGGGGAAAAGAAGCAACTCATTCTAAAAGAAAAGAGGGTATTTAACCTATAGGCTTCAGAAATAATTTTCATGAGCGTTTTCACATCTATTTACTGAAAAATTTTCCTATATTTCAAGTTAGGTTGTAAACATTGTCAGAGCAGTACAAAGCGGACTGATCCCACTGGAAAACACTCCATGGAGAACAGATGCTTCAAGATACAGTCTGCATGACTGCTTCTCCAAGTCCAGATATCTGACTATAATCCTCTCTGGGAATCTGATCTTTTTGCTAAAAATGTTCATCTAACGAAGATGAAAGTAAAAAAGTACTCAATTAGCTCTGTTCTGTTAAAAGTCAAGTTTAGAATGACCTCAAAAGCAACACCTTACCAGATATTTGTCTAGATATGAAAGCATTAATTTCTGATTTCTCTGAGTGTAAGCATTCCATGCTGGTCTTTCATAGAAACTTGCAGAGTTTGCATCAAAGGAAAGAGAAAACACATCTGCTTTGCTCTACTGAAGGCAGATGTTGCTAAGTGATAGAAGGCACAAAGCAGGTGAAAAGCCATGGGATCTGCACTCCAGGGTGTCTGTTTTCACTACTAACTCCAGCATAAACACTGTGCATGGGCTTTGGGCTGGATCACTTGGCAAGTGGCTGATTTCATTCTCCCAAGACCACTTCTGCAATCCTTCAACCAGCATGGAAGACACAGTCCTTATCTGAGGACTGTGGGCTTGGCACAGCATAGGCAACAAAAACACAATTTATATTAGATATGCTGGGATATTATGCAGTTAATCATCAGGTGTATACCAGGTAACTGTTCTCACAATGGAAAATCTGGAAACCTTCATCTATTCCACCTATTGACAGGAGACACTGAAGCCAGGCCAGTCCTACCTGACAGCATCTAAGATGAATAGCCAGGTTACAATTAATTTTGATTATGCTACAGAGA